AGTGCTGTCGCACCACCAGCATCATCCCTGGACCCCATTCTGAGGTGCAGCTTCTGTCCCTACTGCCTACAACAGGGCTGTGAAGGGGGCCCCTGCCTGCCCCTCTGTCCTACCCGGATGTCCCTTTAAGACCAAAGGGATGGGGGTTGCATCAAATCAGACACAACAGCCCCATCCTCCCCCCTGACCGGCCAGGTTTCCTGCCATTGACAGCATCCCAGCTGAGCCCTGCCCAGCCGCCCTCCGCTTAACCCCTTCCTGACCAGACCACAGGGCTACTGACCTGCACCCCCAACCTGACTATAAACTTAGGAGACTGAAAGCAGCAGGTCACTGAATTGTTCTGGGGATGCAGTATGCTAATGACTGTGTGGCTTTACTTGGCACAGCATTTATTGATCTCTCAATAAAGTTCACTCTCATTGCTAGCTGGGTAAGCTGGGACCAGCCACGTCCCCTCCCCAGCCTCAGTCTCTTCCTCTGTAAATGGGAAAAATACTAGACTCTACTCTCCAGAGATGGTCTCAGGGACTCGCTGTGATGCTGCCCCTGTGCAGAGAGCACTGTGGAAAGTCCTGTCACAACATGGAATGGTCACAAAGACCGGAACCAAAACAGCACCAAACCTCCCTCAACGAGGGGGAGCCTGACCAGGACACGGGCTTTGGGGCCTCACACTCATCACTGCAGAGGGTACAGGGGGAGGAGCGGAGCTGAACTTGGGCTTTGGGGAAGGCCTCGCCCTCTCCCCACCTACCAAGTAGGCTGGTCACCCCTGCTGGGCCCGTCTGTCAAAGGAGATCTAAGAGCACAGGTGTGAACTTGCTCTGCAAACATAAAAGTGCTAGAAGGCAGGGGGAGGGACTGATGGGCAGCGGACAGTGGGCAGCTGGGGTGGTGGAGGGGAGCAAGGACCTTTGGCAGGGACACTGGTGTTTGAACCGCAGGCTGGAGCGACTCTGCTGGAGAGAGGCAGAGCAGGAACCCTCCTATGGGGTAGGGCTTCACCTTGGAGGTGAGAGGTGTCCTGGGCACCCAGGTTACGTGCAGAGGAGGAAAAGGGCCAAAAGACCCCAGAATCATCCCTCCTCACCTTCCACCTGGCCAGGGGCACCTCTGCAGGAACAGGCTCGCTCACACGTCTGCCGCACCACTGCCCCCTCTCTCAGGCTATGGATTCCCGGAGCAGAATCCTGGGGAGTCTGCTTGGCAGTGTCCCGTGCCCAGAGCAGCACAGGTCCCAACCTGTCACAGAAGCAAAAGGGGGAAAAAAGAAAAAAGGCAAGCGGACAAGAAAAAAGGAGATTGGCTCTGACCCACAGGAGCAGCAGCCCCAGCCCAGGCCGTGGAGGAAGCCTGGGGGTCGGGGGACTCCTTGGGGGTCCTGACTCTGCCCCCAGCTTCCAGCACAGATCAATTAACCAGGCAGCAGAGGAGCTGCAGGCGGAGAAGCGACCAGGAAGGAGTTAACAGAGGCCAGGCTCTGGGTCAGGAAGGCAAGGGTTAATCTGGGGGGGGTGGAGGCTCTCTCAGCTTTTCCTGTGGAGAGTGAGGTTTGGCTGCCACCAAAGTTACTTCTAGTCCCAGTTGTCCCTCTTGTCCGCAGTCTGGACCTGCCTGGGGACCCCTGCAATTCGGCCTCCCCACGCAGAGGTGAGTGCACCCTGAGCCTGGGGCAGGGCAGGGCCTGCCGCGGGAGGCTGGCTCCAAGCCAGGGAGCCTAAAAGTGAGCCCAGGTCCTGAACAGAAGCCTTCTTGGGCATACCAGGGACAGCTAACTCCAGCCCTGGGAGAAGGCAGGCAAGGCGACAGCCGCCAGGCCCCTGGGTTGGGATGTCTGTGGTCAGGCATCAAAGCCAGACCAGAAGGCAGGGGACAGGCAGGCCGTGCATGACAGACTATTTTGGTCCCTGTGTTTAGGGACTTTTTATAGCCTTGCTGCTCAGGGCAAGGGAGGGCAGAAGGGGACAGAGGGCACCCATGAGGTCAGACAAGCACAGCACCCTCCTGGGGCCTTAGGCTCTGACCCAGTGCCCAGGGCACCCCTGGGAGAAGGGAGGGGCACGGTCAGGCTCTCCTTGTGCCTGGCTTCCCTCACAGCTACCTCTGGGCAGACAGGAGTGCAAGTGGGGCCCCCAGCCCTGGCTAATCTGTGCCTTTGTTGTTCCAGATCTAAGGTCCCTAAGCCCCTCTCAGCTGAACAGGGGCTGGAGGACTGGGGGACAGGGTGGGGTGCGCTGAGCCGGGTGGGTGGTCCATTCTATCACTGCCAAGGGACCTGTCAGCCCCTGATTTACAGCCGCTCCTCAGCAGAGGCGAGGTGGAGGAGGAGGGCCAGAGGTCTCAGGATGAGAACGGGCAGGGACCCTGAGGGCAGATTTCTGGAAATACAGGGCACCCAGACGAGGAATTAGTGGGAGTAGCTTTTTAGGGAGGCAAGGGGCTCATCTCTAACGGAACAGAAGCAAAGTGCCAGAGGGAAGCTCCCATAGGCAAAGGAGAGAGCCCGCCTGAACCGGCTCTGGCCTGTAAGGCACAGACCTGGGTTCCAGGCCCAGCCCTGCCTGGCAAGCCCCTTCCTCCCTGGGTGGTTTTCTTGGAAATGGAAGCCTGGGGCTTAGCTGAGGTGGTATTTACAGAGCTGCTCTCTGGAACCCCCGTGGCAGGGGCACAGAGCCGCTGGCAGGAGCTGGCTGATGTGACCTGGGGACCACCCCCTTCCCTCTGCTTCCTGGCTGGCCCTGCTGCGCCTGGGCAGGGCAGTTGGCTGCAGTCAGAGAGGTTCCTACCCTGTGGTTATGTCCCTGACCCTGGTGCTTGGGGGAGGGAAGGGTGGACACCGCCTGTGGCTGGGAAGCCTCCTTGTCTTGGGCTCAAAGCTGCTGGATTGGGAAGAGGTATTTTTTCCGGTTAAGGCTGCTTTTGGGAATTGGGCCTGGACTGGCCCCGTTTCCTTTTCCAAGTGTGCTGCTGGCTGGTGCCTGCCTCCACGGCCTCGTGCTCAGACCGGGGCGCCCTCGTGAGGGTGGGCATACATTTTCTGGGTGGCCAGGGACCCCCCAACCCAACGGCTCTGAAGTATGGGGGAAGGGACTGACCTGAGCCTCTGCTCCCTGGCCAGGGCTCCAGGCTGACTTGGATGGGGGAGGGGTGGCCGGCTGGTTCCATCCCAGGGAATGCCTGCCGCAGAGGGGCAGGGACATCTCTCCTCTCCCTGACCGGTCCTCTTCCCCTGCAGGCCCCGGGACGTCCCAGCCGACTGCTCCTGGCTCCTGGGCCAGTCACGCACCTCCAGCGGCTTATGGGGCACTGGCCTGCCCCGCACTGCTAAGATGCTCCTGACCCCTCCCTCCGCCACCTCCAGGGCACGAACCCCCAGCGCTGTGGAGAGACTAGAGGCCGACAAAGCCAAGTATGTCAAGACGCACCAGGTGATAGCAAGGCGGCAGGAGCCAGCCCTGCGCGGAGGGCCCGGGCCGCTCACGCCGCACGCCTGCAACGAGCTGGGGCCTCCAGCCTCGCCCAGGACGCCCAGGCCCGCCCGCCGGGGCAGTGGCAGGCGGCAGCCGAGGCCCGACTCGCTCGTCTTCTACCGCCAGAAGCGGGACTGCAAGGCTTCGGTGAACAAAGAAAACGCCAAGGGCCAGGGGCTGGTGCGCCGCCTCTTCTTGGGCTCCCCCCGGGACGCTGCCCCCAGCAGCCCTGGCCCCGCAGAGCGACCTGCGGCTCCCGGGGGTTGGACCGCACCCCAAACTGCCCCAGAAGCGGCGGGGAAGCGGGCGCTGTGCCCCACGTGCTCGCTGCCCCTCTCGGAAAAGGAGCGCTTCTTCAACTACTGCGGCCTGGAACGCGCGCTCGTGGAGGTGCTGGGCGCCGAGCGCTTCTCCCCTCAGAGCTGGGGCGCCGATGCCGGCCCCCAGTCGGGAACCTCGCCGCCGCCCGGCTCTGGGGACGCCAGCGACTGGACATCCAGCGACGGGGGCGCCGACGGCCCGGACGGCGCGGGCGGCGGCGGGGGCGGCGGCGCTGGCTCGGAGGCGGCGGGCTCGGCGCGGGACGGGCGCCCTGCGGTGTCTGTGGTGGAACGCAACGCGCGCGTCATCCAGTGGCTGTACGGCTGCCAGCGCGCCCGCGGCTCGCCGCGCGAGTCCGAGGTGTGACGCGGCCGCGCCGGAGCCGGCCCCTGGGACTCAGGACTCCCTCTGGACCTCGGCGTCCGCAGCCGAGCAGGCGGCGGCGGAGCGCGCGGCCGCGTGGCCCCCGTGGAGGCCGGGTCTGCCGAGCGGTGACTGGGGTGGGAGATGAGCAAACCTACTGAATAAAGTGCCAACGCTGCTTAAATGAGTCGCGAGCTTGGATTAGGGGGCGGACGTTGAGGAGCGGGGGCGATCAGGTTGGGTGGGTTCCAGGCTGCCAATCCCGGGCAAGCACTTAGCTGCGTCCCTCGGTTATTAGAGGAGGGGAGGGGCCGCAGACATAAAAATATTTGGAAATAGCTGTAACGCGCGTGGCAAAGCACCTGAAGGTGCTCAATACTGACACTAAGCTGACACGACCCCCAGGCTGCTCCAAACTAGAGCCGGGAATAGCACGTAGAGGAATCCTGGGGAGCTGCGGGTTCCAGGAAACCACGGATCCGCGGACCCCTAAGCGGCCACCACCCAGGGGCTTCGCTGCCCCCTTGCGGTCACTCGGTCTAAAGGGCTGCGTCGTGAAGGAAGCAGATGAGAGAAGGGACCCACCCTCCAGCCAGGATTCTGCAGCCGCCCCTGCCTCTCCGCGCGCTCCCCCACCTCCAGGCCTCCGTTCCCTCCCGCTTTCTCGCCACCCGTCCTTCCTAGGTGGCTTGTATTCGCCTTCAGGGAGCCGTCGATCCCCGGTCTCCCGCTGCGCTCCCTGCACAGCCCTGTTTGTGCCTCCAGGTGTCCCCGCGTGGGGCCCACCGGTAGCCTGGGTTCTCTCGGCGTCTCCAACCTTTCCCAGCACAAGGACCGCGCCCACAGTGGGGCCGCAGGCGACGTGGGTGGAATTCGGTGAGCCTGGACAGGCGGTGAGGCTGTCCCTCGCGGGCTCCCCAGCTTCCTGGAGGGCTGTACCCTAATTCATCCACCCAGATACCCCGCGGTCTCTGCTTATTCTCGGGAATTCAGGAGGCGAGGACCTCTCCAGTTTGACCCTGCGTGAGCTCGCCCACCCCAAAGTAGCCTTTCTGGATGCCCGGACAAAAGCACGCGGTCACGCGGAGCGTTGGGCCAGGGGTTTTTATGGGCTCTGGGGGAGGAGCAGGGGCCCGGCAGGCCGGCTAGTCGCCCTTGGGCGCGGCCTTCACCCTCATCTCGGCCAGCTTGTGGGTGAGAAAGCCCCACTTGAAGCCGGCCGCGGGGTCGGCCTCTTGCGGCTCGGGGCGCTCGACGGCTTCCTCCGTCGCCTCGTCCCCGGGTTCGGGCTCCGGCTCCGGGGTGGGTTCGGCGCCGCGCAGCATGGACGCCGCGGCCGCCTGCTGCTGCTGCCACCTGCTGGCGAACGCGTCCCAGAATCCCGGCCCGCGCGGCTCCGCCGCCGCCTGCGAGGGGGCCCGCGCCGCCAGGGGGCTGCGCGAGAGGGGCGGCGTCAGGGGCTGGGCCACGGGTCTCCGCCGAGGAGGGGGCTCGGGGAGCCCGGGCGGGGTCAGGGGCTGGGGTGAGGAGCCGGGGTCCGGCTACTGGCCGCGTCCGGGACCAAGGGGGCGGGTCAGCGCCTGGAGGCACTGGAAAGGAGCCGGGAGGGCCAGGGTCAGGGGGTTAGCTCAGGGGCCCGGAACAAGGATTAGGGTCAGGATCCCCGGGGAGAGAGCGGGGTCAGAGGTTCGGGGAAGGACGCTGGCCGGGGAGGGAAGCCAGAGGCCACGGGCCTGGGAGGGGGCGGGGCCAGAGGACAGGGCCGGGAGCCGGGACTCTGCGAATGGGGTGGAGGCGGGTTCGAAGGTTTAGATCAGAGTTGGAGGACCGGGGGGGGGGGGGGGGGGAGCAGTGAGTGGGAGAGTCGGGAGATGCAGAGGGAGGGGCAGTCCAAGCTTGGAGGGGGAGCCTCGGGTCTGGAAAGGGAGTGGGGAGGGGAGGCGAGCGGGGACGGAGAAGGAGGACCCTGTGGCGGCAGAGAAGGCTGGGGCCGGTCAGGGGGGCCCTGGGGGAAAGGAAGAGGGTCCCCAGGGTAGCCGGTGTGTGACCGGGCCAGAGGGCCGGCCGGGCAGAGACGGGGAAGCCCGAGGCCCTGTGTCCAACCCTTGAGCCTTCAGGCGGCAAAGAGCTTCTAGAATGGTGGTTCCCAAGCCGGAGTGCCCCTGGGGCTCGGGGAGCCTGCCGGGTACACCCCAGCCTCTGGCTGCGCCAGACCCTCTGAAGCAAGATCTGGGAATGTGAGTGTGTCACCAGCCCGGACAACGTCTGGGAACCACAGCTCCCAGCTGCTCTCTTGCACATAGCTGATTCAAGGGGATGCCGCCCTGCACCCAGTCCCAACAACTGGCAAACCCCTGGGAGAAGCAGAGACACTAGGGACTGCCCCTCCCCAGACCGGAAGGAAAGGACATGGCAGAAGGGAGACCCCATGCCCCTTCCAGAACCACCCCCAACACCCCACACACATACTGGTCGGCACTGGGCTCCGGTGGCAGCAGCTTGTCCTCGTCTTCTTTGTTAAACAGAGATGACATGGTCAGCCAGCCTTTCACCCCCACCCCCTGGACCTGCAAGGGAGGGGCTGGGAGTCAGGAAGACCCCCTCCCCTCCAACCTCCCAGGGTGCCCTAGTGCCCCTACCAGGCTCCCCCGGGTTGGGGCTGAAGAAGGGAGAACTCACCCGGCGAGCCAGCTGTGACATGGCGTTGAAGGCCTCCTCACTCGGTTCTGCCTGCTCAGACTCCACTATTGCTGGGTTCTGCCTCTGGGACACAGGACCCCCTCAGGATGAGAAGGGTCCCAGAGGACTGGGACCTCCGTTCCCTTCCCTGGACACATGGACCAGGCACCCCGAACCCCACAGACCCGAACAGCCCATCGTCTTCACGCCTCTACCAGGGCACATGGGACCGTGTATAGGTGAACCCTCTCCACAAAGCTAGTGCTCACCTGCACACACCTGTGCAGTGACACCCTGCAGGTACCCCGGGCACTCATGCCTGCCCGGCCACACGGCCACACGCAGCCCAAGCACGTGATGCAGACACACACCTGCATGGGGGCATGCCCCCACGTGGCGCCTGCTCTTCACCCGGACACAGGTGTGTATGCTGTGAGGCACCTGTGCCAGGACACATGTGTAGTTACACAGCTGCAGACACCTTACAGACATACGGGGGGTGTGCAGGCATAGACACTTGCCCAAAAGGTACACACCTGAAAATACCGGAGCCAGTTCACCTGCACACTCAGGTACACTGTCACCGGGGAGTCCACGCAAACATTTCTATACGAGCCCGACCTGGGACACCAGCCCTTCTAGACATACACTGATTCCCAACACCGCCAACACACCCTGACCCCACCCCCCCACACACATACGTACAGGACTAGTTCCTGCCCCTGCCACAGTGTCTGTACGGCTCCCACTCACCACAGCCTCCAGACATAAGCCCATTCTCAGGTTTTGACTCCTTTTTTATTTTTTTGGAGTCAGAGCAAAGCATGACCGAATGATGGCTTTGCCCTGATGCTGCTAGTGACCTTCAGAACACAAGTGTCTCGACCTCCAGTCACAGGGGACTCACTGCCTGTCTGGCAAGCTCAGCCCTGCCAGATAGAATGCTGTGTCATGCTGGGGCCAGCATTGTGGTGTGGTGGGTTAAGCTGCCGCCTGTGAAAACCATATGGACCCCAGTTTGTGTCCCAGCTATTCCACTTCCAATCCAGTTCCCTGTTAATGCGCTCGAGAAAGCAGTGGAAGATGGCCCACGTACTTGGGTCCCTGCCACCCACATGGGGGACCCAGGTGGAGGTACAGGTTCCTGGCTTCAGCCTGGCCCAGTCCTGGCTGTTGCAGCCATCTGGGGAGTGAACCAGCAGGTGGAAGATCATGATCTCTCTCTGTCTCTCCCTCTGTGACTCTGTCTTTCATATAAATAAATACATCTTTTTTTAAAAGATTTATTTTAATTTTTGAAAGTCAGAGCTACAGAGAGAGGCAGAGACAGAGAGAGAGGTCTTCCATCCACTGGTTCACTCCCCAGTTGGCTGCAACGGCCGGAGCTGCACCGATCTGAAGCCAGGAGCCAGGAGCTTCTTCCAGGTCTCCCATGCGGGTGCAGGAACCCAAGGACTTGGACTATTTTCCACTGCTTTCTCAGAGAGCTGAATCAGAAGAGAAGCAGCTGGGACTAGAACCAGCGCCCATATGGGATGCCAGCACTTCAGGCCAGGGCTTTAACCCACTGCACCACAGCACCAGCCCCATAAATAAATCTTAAAAAAAAAAAAAAAAAGTTGCTGTGTGGCTGTGTGGCTAGCTCCAACTTGTCCTAGAAAAATCTGTCCCACGTGGCAGCCCTGGGGTCTTTGGAGACAAAGACCGCTTCTCCATGGCCCCAGGTCTTCTCCAGTTTTCTGAGGTTCTTGGCTCTGTACCATTGCTGCTTATCAGCCCTCCTTGTGCCAGTGGCCTCTGCACAAATGTGCTTCTCTTCCCAGGCCCTCTCTCTCCCTTGGCTCCTGCTCTCTGTCTCCCGTGTCCCACCCACATTCGGCAAGGACAGCACCCACCTCTTCTGCCAGGTCCTCCTGGGATTCCCCACTGAGAGTCTGCAACACTTTGGACTTGTAGGTTTTCCAGAAGGCCTGGTTCATGGCTGCAGGCACAAGGGGCCTGGTGGCCAGGCACAGGAAGGCGGTGGCTCAGTGGGCACCAGTGGATCTGGCTCCAGAAACTCGGTGAGGCCAAGAGCCTGTCCCAGGGATCAGGTGGCTTCATTAAAGATGCACCAGCCTTCTCAGCTGGCACAGTGCCCAGCAGGTGAACCTGATCCAGAGGAGTTGAGCTGGAGACAGGACAGGGCAGCTTCTGCCGCCTCAGTCCCTGTCTTGACCCATATTGGCCAGGAATAATGAAGAGAGAGAGAGAGAGAGAGAGAGAGAGAATTGCTTCCTGGGCTTGGAGTACTTGAGGTTGCAATCTCTTGGAATGGTTCCAGGAAAATCCTCTTTATACACAAAGCCCTTGATCTAGGATCCACACCAGAGACCCCTGGGAGAGCAGCCGGCTGCACCCTCAGCCTCTGTGAGTCAGAGTGGGAAGGTCCCCAGCTCCTGGTCGGCATCCTGGGCTTACGTTTCACTGGTTTGTCTGGGCTGGAAACTGATTCCTCCCCCCCAGGGATGCACGTGCCTGTCTCCCTGTTTCCTGGCAACAGGTCCCAAAGAGCAGGAGCCCCTGAATTATTGCTGAAGTCCTGTGGCCCAGTCCAGAGGAAGTGGCTCTGGCTGGCCCGGGAGGCACCAGGCTCCCGTGAACAGGAAATGGCCATCTGGCCTCTCTCTCTGCTCTGAGCACACAACACCTGGCTGTATCCCCATCTCTCTCTCTCTCTCTCTTTTTTTTTTTTTTTTTTTTTGTTAGATTTATTTATTTATTTTGAAAGGCAGAGCAATAGACAGAGGGAGAGACACAGAGAGATCTTCCATGTGCTGGTTCGCTCTCTCAAATGGCCAGGGTGGCCAGGGCTAGTCCAGGCCAAAGCTCGGAGGCCAGAACTCCATCTGGTTCTCCCACAGGAGGGGACCCAAGCACTTGGGCCACCTTCCTCTGCTTTCCCAGGTGCATTAGCAGAGACCTGGGTCAAAGCAGAGTAGCCAGGACTCAAACTGATATGGGCCGCAAGCTGCAGGTTTAACCGGCAGCAACATGCGCTGGCCCCTGTATCCCCGTCTTTGCTGCCAGCCCACTCACGAGAACGCCCTGCCAGACGAAGGATGGGGTCCCTTCCTGAGCACTCCTCTGCTTGTGAGAGGAGCAGTCGGCATGCCTGAGCACTGTGATCTCTGGAAGGAACACCCCTCCCCCAGGGATTTGCCTGGGGAGGGATGGAGGATGGAAACCCCAAGGGACAACTTGGGAGCCCTGAGAAGAGGTGAGGACTTGGTCAGGGATTGGAAGTATCTCGGGGAGCCCTGTTAGAGCCAGGATCCCAACGTCGCCCACTCTCATTCATTCATGAATTTATTCAGTCAGATATTTAACAGCGCTTTCCGAAGATGCTTAAAGCAACCCACCCACCCCCACCGCGGAGCCTAAGGTCTGGGAGTCGGGAAGGGATGAGAGGGCCGGGGAACGGCGCTCAGACAGGTGGGGCCGGGCCAAGCAGAGCCGCGGGGCCGGTCGCGAAGCACCCCCAAGGCTCACGCACCCCTCCCCCGCCGCTCCCCAGCGACGGCCAGGGGGCCCCCACCGGACTGGTCACCGAGCCAGATGGCCGCCAGGGGGCGCCCGAGCCGCTGGCCGGGTCCGTGACGTCATCAGAGGCGGTCAGGCCGAGGCGGCCCCGCCTCCGGGCGACTCCCGACGTCATCCAGAGGTCCGGAAGTGCCGCACGTGCGCTTCCCTGCGAGCTCCCGGCGTCTGCGCTCGCTTGCCACTGGCCATGGGTCGTTCCCGCCGGACGGGCGCTCACCGTGCGCACTCCTTAGCCCGCCAGATGAAGGCTAAGCGGCGGCGGCCCGACCTGGATGAGATTCACCGCGAGCTGCGGCCGCAGGGGCCCCCGCGCCCCCCGCTCCACCCGGACGCCGAGCCCGACCCTGACCTGCCGGGGGGCGGCCTGCATCGCTGTCTGGCTTGCGCGTGAGTCCCGGCCGAGTCCGGCCTGGGGAGGAGGAGGTTCCGCGGTGCGGGCCGGGGCATGTGAGAAGTCCGGGCTTTGGGGCGCGCAGGGTCTGCCCGCCTCCCATCTCTCAGGCCCGGAGTCTGGCGTCGGGGAGTGAACGAGGGTCAGGCAGCTGGGCGTGCCCGACAGGCTTCCCCTCTCACCCTCCTCACCTCCCTTCCGTGCAGGAGGTACTTCATTGACTCCGCCAACCTGAAGACCCACTTCCGGTCCAAAGACCACAAGAAAAGGTATGGAGGAGAAAGAAGAGGATTGACGGCTGGGTGCCCGACAGGCAGGGCATGCATCTGACCAGCTCCCAACTCCTTTCTCCCAGGCTGAAGCAGCTGACCGTGGAGCCCTACAGTCAGGAAGAGGCAGAGAGGGCGGCGGGCATGGGCTCCTACGTGCCCCCCAAGAGGCTGGCGGTGCCCGCAGAGGTGTCCACTGAGACTCCTGAGATGGACACGTCTTCTACGTGACAGGGCCTGCAGCTATGGGGCCCGCATGGACAGTGACACGAGGGCTGGTCTGGGAGAGCGATCCAGCCGCTCGGGTTTGGGAAGTGACCGCTCTCTGGGTGTTCTCCCCAAATAAAGGAACTGGACAAATAGGACTTGCCTCTGACTGTGATGTCCAGGCCACTGCCCCCAACTCCTGTCCTGGAAGGGTTCCTCTGCCGTTTTTTTCATACCGAGCCCTGTGTTTCTACTCCCCACCTGCCCAGCTTTGGAGCCCAGGCGCCGAGCGTAGTGGGGATGGGTTTATTCTGCCTGCTTCCCTCCAGAGCTCCCAAAATGCAGCCCCCCGAGTCACCTACCCCAGTGCCTCGCTGAGAGGCTGCCTGCTTCCTCATGGGGCCTGTGGTGGCCGCCGCTGCCCCACCATCTTCCAGACAGCATAGCAGGAACCGCCCAGGCCAAGGACAGCCAGCAGTGCAGCCACCACCCCAGCCAGTGGACTCCGGGGCTCTGCCTTCAGCTCCCCGGCTACCTGCATCTGGGGAGGCACAGAGGGAGGCCTGAGGGGTCGCTGGGAAGGGGCTGAAGAGGCGTCGCTGGGTGAGGGAGACGTGGCCGCCGCCGCTGCCCCAGGGAGATTCCACCCCAGTCCCTCTCGCTTCACTGCCCATCCGGGCCCTGGCTGCTCAGGCGGCAGGAAACGTGACAGCCTGGCTGCTGGGGGTGTCAGCCCCGTCGTGGTAGGGGGAAGAAGGGATCGGTAGTGGCAGAAGCCATCAGTTAGGGGTCCTTACCTGTAGCACCCGGAAGTAGCCAGGGGTTAGGCGTCGGAATCGCATGGTGGGGGCCGTTGCTCTCCCCGGCGGCCTGTGGGGTGAGCGTGTGCGTGAACGTTGGTGGCGCTCCTGGTGCCCAGAAGTGGAGACCAGGGCCTAGGCATCCCTGACGTCACGTATGCATAGGAGCTGTGCCCTCTGAGGATGCTCACCCCTGCTTGCCAGCCCAGCTCTGGCAGGGGGCGGGGCCACTGGACCTTTAAATCTGGTCCCTTCCCCCGCCGGTGCCTGCCGCCCTGCCAGCCTTAGGAGCATCTGTCAGGAGAGATCAGCATCAGGCCTGAGCAGCACCTCCCCCACTCGCCAGGGAGGCCAGGCCGGGTAGGCGGGAGCGGCCTTGGCGGGCGTGCTCAGAGTCCCAGGCCCGGACTGCCTCCCTGGCTGGCCGTCCTCAGCCCTGGTCCCGGCCTGTCCCTGCCTCAGGTGGTTGGATGTCACCCATCAGCATTCAACGGAGTGGGCGGAGGGTGGCTTCTTAGCCTCTAACCGCTGCGTGCCTCTGCCACCCTACCTTGAGGGAGGGCCTGTTTCCTCCCTTTCTCCAGGGTGGAGTTCCCACAGGACTTCAACCCTCAGCGCAGGGACAGCAGTACAGGTAGACCTGCGTGTCCCGACTAGACCGTCAGTGCTTTGTTAAGCAACAGAAGCTGGGGGCCGGCTGTGGCGTAGTGGGTAATGCTGCACAGGAGCTGGGGGCCGGCTGTGGCGTAGTGGGTAATGCTGCACAGGAGCTGGGGGCCGGCTGTGGCGTAGTGGGTAATGCTGCCGCAGATCTTTAAAACACACAGAAACGCTGAAGCCCACCGTGCTGTCGTGGCTGTAGCACTTCAGGATGTCGATTACTACTGAGCTGAAGAACAGTGCGTACGCAGAACAAGCTGCGGACTGTGCGCAGGGACAAGGAAGAGCCCCCGGGAAACTTGGCAGTGGTCCCCACTGGGGAACAGCACAGAGACCAGAGGGAAAAGGGCCCATCCATCCGCCTTTCACTTTAATAGCCTGCCGGTGCCTTTGAAAGGTTTACACCAGACATACAGAACTGTTGTGTTTACTTATTTTTTTAAACAATCCATTTGGGGTTTTTTGTTTGTTTTTAAAAGATTACTTGAAAGGCAGAGTTGCAGAGAGACAGGTCTTCCATCCAGTGGTTCACTCCCTTGATAGCCACAACAGCCAGAGCTGGGCTGGTCTGAAGCCAGGATCCAGAAGCTTCTTCCATGTCCCCCACGTGGGTGCAGGGTTCTAAGGACATGACCATCCTCCGCTGCTTTCCCGAGATCATTAGCAGGAGCTGGATGGGAGGTGGAGCAGCCAGGATTTGAACCAGTGCCCATATGTGCCATAGCACTGGCCCTGTGTGACAGGTGTTGGGATGCTGATAGATTCCAAAGTAGGCCGGCGCCGCAGCTCACTAGGCTAATCCTCCACCTTGCGGCAACGGCACACCGGGTTCTAATCCCAGTCGGGGCGCCGGATTCTGTCCCGGTTGCCCCTCTTCTAGGCCAGCTCTCTGCTGTGGCCAGGGAGTGCAGTGGAGGATGGCCCAAGTGCTTGGGCCCTGCACCCCATGGGAGACCAGGAGAAGCACCTGGCTCCTGCCATCGGATCAGCGTGGTGCGCCGGCTGCAGCGCGCCAGCTGCTGCGGCCATCGGAGGGTGAACCAACAGCAAAAGGAAGACCTTTCTCTCTGTCTCTCTCTCTGTCCACTCTGCCTGTCAAAAAAAAAAAAAAAAAAAAAAAAAAAGATTCCAAAGTAGATGACATAGAGGAGCAGGCTTCTCCCCACAGACTGAATAATGATGGCACCGCGTGGCCTTTTAGAGAGGAAGAAACGGGCTCAGCGCGCAGGGGCTGGGCTTGGTCACGCAGCAGTCGAGTGCAGATCTGACTCAGTCCACGGACCTGGGAGTCTCCTGGCTGAAATGGTGATCACAGTGGACGCGTGGTAGGTGTCAGACATTTTGCTAAGGCGAAGGCTCTTACTGGGGCTCAGAATTCAGGGGATCCATAGACTTGGTTGGGAAGAACTTTTATATTTTCACTAACCTCTAACCAAAATTCACTGTTTCTTCTATATGGGTGAAGGAGTGGAATCTGGTTTCCCCCAATGGAACGTGCTTCCCATTGTGATGGGATTTTCATATCAATCTAGTTACTGCAGATGTGTCAAAATATTTTTGCTCATAACATTCAAAACCGTGGTCACTGTTAACCCCCCGCTGAAGCCCCCTGCTCACATTCTGTTTCAGACCTGCCTGTGACACCGCTGTCACCCACAGGGCACCTCTGATCCCAGGAAGGCTTCCGTGGCCACATGGGTGCCTGTGCACCGGGACCCCAGGTGCCTCCCCCCCACCCTACCGTCAGTCGTTGGCTGATCCACACGCAGGAGGCAGCCCTGTCCAATGCGCTTGTTCAAGCTGGGCAGCGATACGCTGTCATTCAGAGAGAAGCATTTCACTGTAGTTTGCTGGTTGTTTTTAAAATTCTTTTAAAAAAATACATAAATAAGGGGGGGAGTCCAATGCTGTGGCATAGTAGGTTAAGCATCCACCTGGGGTGCGGGCATCCCATGTGGGTGCCGGTTCAAGTCTTGGCAGCTCCAGTTCCAATCCAGCTCTCTGCTATGGCCTGTGGAAGACAGCGGAAGATGGCCCAAGTGCTTGGGCCTCTGCACCTACCTGGGAGACCTGGAAGAAGCTCCTGGCTCTTGGCTTTGGATTGCCCAACTCTAGCCGTTGCAGCCATCTGGGGAGTGAACTGGCAAATGGAAGAATTCTCTCTCTCTCCCCCTCTCTCTGTAACTGTGCCTCTCAAATAAATAAATCTTTAAAAAAAAAAAAACCCATCTATTTATTTGAAAGAGTGACAGAGCTAGATCTTCCATCTGATACTTCACTCCCCAAATGCCGGCAACAACCAGGGCTCACCAGGCTGCAGCCAGGAGCCCAGAGCTCCATCCAGGTCTCCGATGTGGGTGATGGGCACTGGAGCCATCACGCCTGCCTCCCAGGCCCACGAGCAGGAGGTGGAGCAGCCGGGACTCAAACTGGTGCTCAGAGTCCCCAACCTGTGGTTTAAGCTACTTCACCCCAACTCCTGTCCCTAATTTGCCAGTCTCATTAATAAACATTCGTACCTCACAAGTCTGTGGTTTTGAATATTATGGTAATCATTGTTTTCCTTGTAACCCTAAGCTTTGTTTTGTGCCTTAACAGTCATTCTGAGAAAGGCTCCCCGTGGGTCTCAGCAGGCTGGAGAGGAGCCGGGGTTTTCCCTCGGGGACTCTGCCCAGCTGCCCAGAGGTGCGGCTCAGCCCTTGGCCCCTCGTCTTGCCGGCCGATCCCCAGGACCCCACTCGAGGTCTCAGGCCGGTTCTGGGGTCTCCACCGCGGGCTGGCAGCACCCCCTCCCGCCCCCAGGCTCCCGAGGCCCAGGGATGCCTGAAAGGGCTGGAGGCGGGCGGCCGCGCGCCAGTGGCTGCCGCGGCGCCGCACCTGGCTGACCACGTGGGCCCAGGTATGCGCGGCTCCGCCCAGGGCCCGGCCCGGCCCCTCCCCAGGCCGGGGCTCCGGGAGCGGAAATTCCTGCGCGGACGGGCGGGAGCGGGAGCCAGTCCGGCGGGCGGAGTTCGGTCATGGAGCCGGTAGAGGCCTGGACCCCCGGGAAGGTGGCAGCTTGGCTGAGAGGTGGGTGAGGCCGGGCGGAGGAGGGCGCGAGGGGGAGCGGGGAAGGCAAAAGCACCTGCCGAGGGTCTCGTCGGTCACTCAGTCAACAGGTTATTTCTAGGGCGTCTGCCCCGGGCCAGGTCCAGTGCCGGGCCGGGGGCAGACGGGGTGACCCCAGAGAGCCCAGGAAGGACGCCCCCTTGGCTTCCAGGACACCCCAAGAGGCCACCAGGGTGGCGAAGAGGAGGCAGGGCAGCGGAAACAGAAGCCAGGCCCGGCACCTACGCCCACTTTATCTCTTTCATCTTCCCGGTGCCCCAGGGCCCAGTGGGTGTTCATAAACCCATTTTTCAGGAGCAGAAACTGACAGAGAGAGACAGGAAGTGATTTCTTCAGTCTCGGAATGGGCCTGGCCTTGGTGTCATTTCCCCTGTCCCTGGAGGAGACTCCGGATGAGAGAAGCAGGAGCAAAGGGCTGGCAGGCCCCACCCAGGGGGCTCCCGTGGGAGGAGGGGATTCCCCGCCCCCAAAATATACCTGCCACTCAGTGAGCCCAGACAGGAAACGACTTGCTGCCCTCGCCCAGGGAGCGGGGAGGGCCTCCTGAGTCTTAAGCCTGAGCAGTGGAGAGGTGAATCTCCAAGTGGGCAGCCAAGGCACCCCAGGAGCGTGCCCAGCAAGTAAGGGTAGGGGCTCAGAGCTGGACTCCACCTCCAGAGGGTCCCAGGCCAGCTCCCCCACTCATCAGCTCTGTGAGCACAGGTCTCAGTCTGTTCATGACATGGGAAAGGCAACTCTGACCTCAGGAAGTGGATACCACCAGACGAAGCTGGCCAGGCAGGGCGTGTAGCTCGGTGTCAGGACCGGGGTGGGGGGAGGAAGCTGCCCAAGGGCCCCTGGGGACAGGTGCGTGGACTCTCAGGAGGGTGCTCTTGACATCTGGCGGGGAGAAAGAGCGATCAGTCACGCACACACATCCTCCAATGAAGGAGTGTGTGGCTGGCTTGAGATGGGAGGCCCCCTTCAGAGAGTAAGCAAGCCTTTTAACCTCCACTTGTCAGTCTTCCCATCTGAAAAATGGGGCTGGCAATAGCCCCAGCCTCCTAGTTCCCACAGTGGGGATTAAATGTGCTAATATGTGTGACGCCCTTAAAACTCTGCCTAGCACATAGTACGTTTCTTATCTTTCAGTGTGTCCCTTGGGCCAGGCCCAGACTGGGGTTAGAAACCAATGGTTCTTTAAGGCCCTGTCTTAGAAGATCCAGTGAGAAAATGAGAGGCCAGAGGTGAAGAACAGGGGTTTGTGGAAGCCTGGGGGCAGTGGGAGCAGGAGGACAGGCCCCTGGTCCAGCCTGGGGAGTCACAGAGGGCTTCCTGGGGGGAGTTCGGTGACATAGGATGGGTTGGAGCTGGAAGAGCAGTCCAGACAGAAGGAACAGCACATGCGAGCACCCTGAGGCCAAAGAGCTAGGAGGAAGTACTGTGGAGCTGAAGTGTTGGGCGGGAGGGCTGTGCAGGGGCGCGGGGCTGCAAAGGCAGAGGCGGGCATTAATGATCCCACGGCTGTTACTGCCAGGGGTGGGGCCGAGAGCGACACACATGACTCAGGGGACACACACGAAGGTGGATGCTTTTATTCCCATTTATTCCCATTTCGTAGGGGCAGCTGAGGCACAGAGCAGTTGTAGGATTACTCAAGTACTAGCACTCTGGTCTCCCTGACCCCAAAGCTCCTTGTCACTGGATCTCGGGGGTTAGGCAGCACTGAAGTCCCCTGCAGGATTTGTTCAGTCACAACCTGCTGGGCCCCACCGGAGTCTGGCTTGGCAGCTGTGGGGCGGCCTGAGAATTTGCATCTCTAGCAAGCACCCCGGTGAGGCCGTTGCTGCTGCTGCTGCTCCCGGGGACCAGCCCTTGAGAGCCACTGTCTCAGCTCAGTGGCCCCATCTGTGAAATGGGCAGAATGCAGCACGGGGCTCCCGATGCCATTGGAGTCAGACTGGGGGAGAAAGGATGTTTCAGGAGTGAAGAGCGGGCCGGAGAGGTCCTGAGCCTTCTCCCCGCCCCCACCGCAGGCCTCGATGACTGTCTGCAAGACTACCCCTTCGAGGACTGGCAGCTGCCTGGCCACTACCTGCTCCAGCTGTGCCCCCGCAGCCTCGAGGCTCTGACCGTGTGGCCTCTGGGCCACCAGGAGCTCATCCTGGACGGCGTGGAGCAGCTCCGGTCCCTCGTGAGTGAGCCAGCCTCGGGGTTGCGGGTGGGACTGGCTGCTGCTGGGGAAGTGACCTGTCCCCTTTCCTGCGCAGAGCTCCGGGCTGCAGTCGGAGAACCTGCAGAGCCTGACACAGCGGCTGCTGGAGGGGACCGAGGCCTTCCAGAGCTCCGTCCAGGGCCGCCTGGGGTGCTGCGCCGAGACCCCTGCTGACGTGCTCAGCGCGGCTGTGGAGCTGGTCCGTGAGGCCCAGGCTCTCCTCTGTTGGCTCAACAGGTACCCAGGCTGGGGGGGCTGGTGAGGGGACCCTTCTCCTCTGGGGCCGAGGAGGGAAAAACACAGCTTGGCTCTGTTCGGAAGCGGCAGAGGGTGGGCAGGCGGTGCAGGGGCACTGGGCTGCCAGGGTGCTTCCTGCCAGCGTGACCGTAACATTGAATAGAGCGCTTCCCCTCCCCCTTCACTTGTCCTGCAGGTGCCACCCCCAGTGTCCCCTCCTCAGGGATGCCTTCCCTGTTACGCGCGCTCAGTACACTCCTTAGAGCTGAAGCTGAGTCATCGTGGATGTAGCTGTGTGTTCAGTGTCTGTCTCCCCAGTGCCTAGCACAGGGCCTGGCATGCGAGAGCCTCATGACGGCTCAGGCCTGTGCTAAGCTCTGAAGGTGGAGCAGTCACCTGCATCCCAAAACCCCTGAGGGCAGGCATCACCCCGAGTCTCAGATGAGTAACCGCTGTGCCCCCGTTCCCTGCCAGGTACCTCTTCTCCCAGTTAAACGACTTCTCGGCCTGCCAGGAGATCGGAGTGCTGTGCACGGAGCTGGGCCAAGTCTTGCAGGAGGTAGGGGAGCCAGGGGCCAAGCTTGGCCTGTGCCCCAGGGACCAAACCAGGCGGGAGCTTTTTATAACTGGTGAATCAGCCGGGATCCGGGGTGAGCACTTGGACGGCGAGGGCAGGAAGAAGGGAGGCCTGGCCACTGGGTACAGTGATGGGAGCGAGGGGTCGCTGGCAAGGGCGGCTCAGGAGGTGTGGGAGGGGAGGGCACGTGCACGCGGGAGGCCGGGGGTCAGGGTGTTGAGGTAGGGGAAGCAGGGTAGGACCTCAAGAAGGGCAGCCCTCCCTTGTCAGCCAGACTCAGGGGAGGCCCCGCTGTCCACTCCCTTCCAGGACTGTCCAGCGGCCGAGAGGGAGAGCAAAGTCCTGAGGATTGTGAGTTCGTGGGGCCGGGAGGGAGTGCGGGGTGGGGGTGGGGTGGGGGTGGGGGGGTCGGGTCAGGTGAGACCACCTGCTGCCCTCCCCCAGTGTAGCCACGTGGCCGGCATCTGCCACACCATCCTGAGCTGCAGCCCCGCGGAGCTGCTGGGACAGAAGGCCGTGCTGGAGCAGGTGCAGCTGGCAGCGCCTTTGGTGAGCCCCGCCCCCTCGCCTCCCGCTTCTGAGCCTCGGCGCCTGCCACGCAGCCCAGAACCCGTGGAGTCCTCTGTGGGTTGCTCTGGCTGGTGGCCTTTGCTGTGCAGATGTGAAAGTGGGGCTCCAAGGACTTCCCTGGAGTCCCACTGTCCATCAGCGCCTTCCCGGTCCTTAGGGCCACTCGGGGGTGGTCTCCGGCAGCACGTTCCAGCCCTGGGCCTGGACCTGGCAGGGCTCCGGCGCAGCTTAGGAGAGAGGGGAGAGGACACGAACTTTCTGTCCCCTGGTTTAAGTCGCTGAGAATCTGGGAACTCGGTCACCACAGCTTCCCTCTGGCCCTTATCCGGGGAGGCGGCAGAGGCCCAGAGAGGAGCAGCAAGCCCAAAGGCACACAGCGAGTTGGGGGCGGTGCCCACTCTGCCCCCAGGTTGCCCATCTTTGAGCCCCAGGACCCCTGGCTGTGCTGCCCCAAGCCCTCAGCGACTGTCACCCCTGCCCTTGCAGGACCTGGAAATCCACACCACCAGCAACTGCCTGCACTTCGTGTCCAGAGTGGGCACCCAGGTGAGAGGCCCGCCCACCCGAGGCCCTCTCACCTGCTGGCCTCCAGGGGAGCTCACCCTCTGGGCCCCTTCCCCACCCAGGTCCCCACCGACTCCCGGCAGCAGATCCTGCCTGGAGACGAGATCATCCAGATCAACGAGCAGGTGGTGGTGAGTGAGGACGCTGACGGCGTGGTGGGCACGCGGGGCAGGACGGGGAGAGAGGCAGCCGAGGCTCTGCCCCCCGGGGACAGCAGGGTGTGATGAGCCAGCCCAGGAGGTCGGAGGGCTGCTGCAGAGCCAAGGTGCAGGGGCTGATGGGGCTCCCTGGGGCAGAAGCAGGAGGCTCGGTGTGAGGGCAGGGGTGGAGGTGCTTCCGAGCCTCCTGCCCAGCGTCTCTGCCCCGGCCCCACCCCGTCCCCCAGGTGGCCTGGTCCCATAAGAACGTGCTGAGGGAGCTGCTGCGGCAGCCAGCGGGGGTCAGCTTGGTGCTGAAGAAGATCCCGGTGCCAGAGACGCCCCCGAAGGTACCTGCCTCCCCCGCTCTCCACCTGCTTTCAGGGCCTGTCATCAGCTCCATCACCTGCTTCTCCTTGTTCCTCCAGACACCCCCTCAGGCTCTGGACTCGCCGCGCCTGGGAAGCCAGTCACCGACTCTGGCCCCGCTGTCTCCCAGGTGCCCGGTCTGCCCCGAGCACGCGGGGACGCGGCCTGCCTCATCTCCCCTTGCTCTCCTGCCCTGGGCATGCCTTGGTGGGGGCGCGGCCTGCCTCATCTCCCCTTGCTCTCCCCAGGGCCTCACCCAGAGATGCCTTTGCCTTTGACCTGACTTCAAACCCAAGTCCTGGGCCTACCCCTACCTCGACAGGTAGTTTCAAAGCCCTTTAGGTGGGGGATACCTGGAGCCAAGGCATCTGGGTTCCTGGCTGTGACCCCTCATTGTTGACATCACCTCCTGAATCCCCAGGCCTGGGACTGGGCTCACGAACCTTCTCCCTCTCTCCTCCCTCCTTGACAGATTCTACCTCCCTTGACCCTGAGCCGCTGCCTATCCCCTCTGAGCCCCCAGCCACAGTCCCGGCAGAAGTAGCAGAGACCCCAGGCCCCCCAGGATACCCTGACAAGGTGAGCTCAGGAGCTCAGCGGGGAGGGGTGCGGGCTCTGGACCCGCATCCTCCTCTATCCCCTGCATTGTCCTTTCAGAGTCCTGGCCTTGGTGGGAAGAAATCAAAAGGTATGAATGCCCCCAACACGGTGGGGCCCCTTAGTGATGCTTACAGTGCTGGGCAAGACCCCCACCCTTCCCACAGTCTCCCTGGAAACAGGCACAGTTCTGGGTCTGGAGTCAGACAGACCTGGGCCCCCAGCCCACAGCTTATCCTCTGATCTGTGTCCTTGCCTTTGAAATGGGAAGTCACCCCCTCTTGAGATAACCGGGTGTAGGCTCAGGCCTCTCCGTTGGGGCTGCTTCTGGGAGGGCAAAGGAACAGGTCTGGGGGGCCAGAGGGCCTTGCCAGCCCCTCACCAGCCGTGCCGTGCCGTGCTACTGCAGGCGTGGCGACAAGGCTGAGCCGCCGGCGGGTGTCCTGCCGGGAGCTGGGCCGGCCCGACTGTGACGGGTGGCTCCTGCTGCGCAAGACACCCAGT